TGGCACATACTTTGGCCTTTCTTGTGGGGCGGTTTGCCCTTTTCTTCTGGCACATACTTTGGCCTTTCTTGTGGGGCGGTTTGCCCTTTTCTTCTGGCACATGCTTTGGCCTTTCTTGTGGGCCGGCGTGCCATTTTTTCTGGCACATACTTTGGCCTTTCTTGTGGGCCGGTTTGCCCTTTATCTGGTGCGCACTTGGAGCCTGCATTGTAACAATACAAAAACAATTAGATTATGTCTTGAGATAGTTTGGTCCTTTTCCTGACACTTACATTAGCCTGTCTTGTAGGCCTGATTGGTCTTTGCTCTGGCGCATACTTTGGCCTCTCTTATGGGCTGGTGTAGCCTTTTTCTAGGCGCCCTTGTTGGGCTTCTGGTGAGCCTTATCGGCTTTTGACGAGGTGTCTTGAGGACACGACATAGCCGACACCTTTGCGGCAGAAATGGAACCATCGAGTTCCCCGGCAGAAGCAACAGGAAGCAACAGGAAGCAAATGTCCGACCAGTGGGATAAATGGCTCCTACCAGTGAGATAAATGGACCCGCCAGTGGAAGGAAAATGGGCGGCTGGCAACTGGCAACTGGCAACCGGCAACCGGTAACTGGCGGCTATATAAAAAGGTCCACTGGCGAGAGATGACAGGTTCACTGGTAGGAGGAAAGGGCCTACCAGTGGGAAGCAACAAACCCACTGGCAGAAAAGTCCCACTGGCGGAAGCAACAGACTAACAAAAAAAAAAGCAACAAGCAACAGTACCTTTCAAATAACATGGACCGCCGTGGAAGGCATAGGGAAGGAACAAGCAACGGGAGGGAACAAGCAACGGGAACTAACCCAAAAAAGATGGTACCAGCCGCGCCCACCAGAAGAGACAACAGAAAGCAACCAGTAATACACAGGAATACGGACAACGGGCTCACACGCTACACGCGCGCTTGTGGACTTGCTCGATAGACCATGGTTGACCCGTGGCTACTACTCCATCGGGCCCTTTTGAAAGAAAGAAACAAAAAGAGAGAGCGGTCGGTCGTAAGAGTCCAAAATCAGCTCAACAAGCTTAACAAAATAATATTGCCAAGGCTTTATGAACGTCTTTTGAACTCTTACAGTCGCCTACTCCACAGGCTTTGATTAATTAGTATTCAAAGTTGCATCGCACATAACGTAAAAAATCATATACTTATCTTAAAGTGATCTGGCTAGCCGTTCATAAGAAAAGAAGCATGGCTATCGGAAGACCCTCTTGGCTTCTGTGTATAAACGATGACCGGCCGGACATAAACCCATATATTACCAGAAGCTCTCCATCGTCTCCACCAGTAGACACGGCCAGTACAAAGAAAAAGGGAAAAAAGGAAAACCAAAAGACGCGAAAATTTTTCTCTAGCTATAAAAACAGAAATGGGGAGATGATGACGCCTCCCTCACTTTAGTCCAATAAAATTCATTGAAAGTATACATCAATCAAAAGATTGGGGGAGATAGGGGGAGGAGGATGGATGGATGGATGCATCTTGTGTGGTGTTGGTCACGCTGATCATTTGTTTTCGTCACTACAAATACTTTTCAGGGAAAGTACCTGAGTATAATATTGTATATACACAAGTTGAAAAATGAAAACAGAAGGCCCTTTTAAAATATAACACTGGTCTTTCTTTCCAACTCTTACATTCAGTACCCATACTCTTACTTTTTGCAGTGCTATATTGTAGTATCCTTTAAATGTATCTACTGTTTTATAAAGGCCAGGCCTTGAAAGGCGTTTTCGGAAAAATTAAGACCGTCCTGATATAAAAGATAAGGGGGGGAGTCATGCAAATAAACAGGCTAAGTACAAACAAGGAAACCAAATATATATACATTTATACAGGTATGTATCACACGTTTCATATTTTCTCTCACCCTATTTGCTTCCTTTCAAAGGTTACCAAGTTACTTATGAAGTTAATAAAGCAAGCACACCAAGACAAGAGGTGTTTGGTAAAGAATACAAAACATACAAGACATAAAAAATGGCTATAGTTATTTGGCTTATTATTTATAAAATAATAATATTTTGAAGCATTTTGATAGTGTGCTTCTGCTAATCAAACAAGTGTAAGAGTACGCCCAATCGTAGCACTTTTATGTAAGTTGATAAATCACCTTTATAAAAAATATATTTCTATTAATTTAAAGAGTGCCTTTTGCTGCTACTCTCGAATCGATTCTTTTATATATTCAGTATATAAAGACTCTCTCTATCTCTTACTAGGCTTCTTTTATTTACTCTATATGTATTATATTAATGTACTCTAAGCGATAGAAATCCCTATAGATTGTGTATTGGATAATACAATTTATTCTTGTAATAAAAAGATATATATATATATATATATATGCACCTTTAATAAAAATGTATATCATATATATAGTATAACAATATTATCCCAAATCTTCAAGTCTCTTATAACTTACAAAAATAAAATCTCAAGGCTAGTGCTTTAACATACTATATCTTCTCCAAGTTTAATTTTAAGCAGACACCCAAGTAGCTTTTATTTTGTACATGCATAAAAAGCAGGTGTCTATTTATTATTTATTTTTTTGAAAGAAAACAGATTGGATATACAATTGAATAGTGCTTTTGTGAAAATAATTTATAATTTTGGCTAACAATATATGCTCATCAATATTACTAGCTGTATTCTACTTGAATAAAAAACATTATGCCAATGAGTTTTAGTCTCTTGGATTGCACGATTGCAAATACTTGGCAATGTTAGTACTATCAATTTACATTCTTTATTTGAAAACTTTAAAGCATGTCTTTAATATATGGGAAAAATCACAAGTTATGTTTTGAAGTCAATCATCTTTTTTTTTGCTTTTCTAGCTATAATTGTACACAGAAATCTTTTTCATTTTATTCTTTTTGTAGTGGCCAATGTTTAAAGCTTACAGAGTTGTTATCTTGCCAAATTGTTATCTAAAAACAAAGACTTGACAATGACAGGCTCTAATATTCACAATAAACTTGTGCAGAATCCATATTTGTGAGTCTCTTTTATGGATTTCCTAACTAGTTTATTAGCTTGGCATTTGATCTTATAAACAAC